AGTTCAGTGCTGTTTCACATATCCAATCTTGCTTGGGGTCTGAGACCAGGTTCAGCTGCGCATCCAGAACCCCAGGCGCATTTTTCAAGGGGTTAGGGGCCTTGCTCAAGAGCCCAACGGCGATGTGGCTGCTCAAGAGCATGGGATTTGAACCAATGACCTTCAAGTCACAATCATAGAGGCCTAACTGACTGGCAGGTCTGTCCAATGAGGTAATGTCATTTTTTAACATGGATCATTTGCAAGCTGAAGGTCCACATAGGGACAGTGGAATATTTATGCATTTTGGACACTCAACATTCAAGACTTCTGTGTTTGTAGGCATTTTTAGACATTAATCTGATTATGTTCGTTTTGTCTGTCTACCTCAGTAATAGATACAACATGCAGTTATCAAAAAGGACTTGTAAGAAAATAGAGCAAGGAGATGTCATCACTAATGTCAAATATCTACCCCACTGGGCTGCATTCATGTCCTGATGAGGATCACGTAAAAGTCAACTGAAGAACATCTGGAACAATGAAAGCTGAAGAAAATTTATCGCCCACATTGCCTGCACTACTGCCTTGCCAACACTTGATGGCAGTAAATCCAAACAACGTGGATTGGGTATTTCGTGTGTGTGTATGTATACCATGTTTTAGCACAATGTTAACTCAGCACAAATTTATTGTGGAAAAAGACGTTAAGGCTTAATGAACGTTATATAATATATATTAATTTTACAAACGATAAAATAGGAAGATAAGACACTATTAAGCTAGTGAGCAAGATGTCTGTCTGAGCATAAATAAGTCCAACATGTCAGTCTTCGCCCTGTCACTGCATTAGCTGACAAAGTGTTTTCATTTAGGTTACACCAAATTATTTATCATTCAAATAGGAAAGACCTCATCACAAGACAGCAAATTCTGACTCTAACCTACTGCTAAGTCCAGCAAAGGCCTCTAACCATATGGCTTAGGTGCTGATCTACTGCAGTGTGGAAAGCTGATGGGCAATTTATTCAAATTCCAGAAGCATGACATCAAATATGCTTGATTTGAGAAGGAGATATGGTGCAGTGGAAAAAGTAAGCACATCCCTTGTAAATTATTTTTCAGCATTTTTGGACAAATTTTAAATGTTCGTTTCAACAGTACTGATAAAACTTAAAAAAGTTCTGCTTCAAATTAACATTTAGCAATCATTTATACAATTAAAATAAAAAGTCAAATTTCTTGTGTATGATAGTAATATGTTACTATATCCCAATATTTATCACAACATTAAACCTAAAAATTAGAATCAGATGCACACATTATTTAATCAACTAGTCATGTTTAGAGTCATAGCCAGACCCTACAAATTCAGCCCAAGAGCCAAGAGCAAGGTACATCAGGAAGTCTGGAAGAACCGCAGGCAGTCGGCAAGGGATCCATCGGCAACTTCAGACAACCGATTTAAGTTTGCCATTAAACACTAGAATTAGGGGCAGCACTTCTGGGATGATGTTGTCAGGTCAGATAAGTAGAAGGGGGAGCTGTCTGAGCACAATTCCAGATGCCATGTTTGGCCAAAAACGCAGCCTTTTAGAAAAAAACCACCTGATACCCACTGTGAACTTTGACTGTGGGGGTGTTTCAGTTTGGGGGGGGGGGATTTGCTGCTTCAGGGCCTGGGCAGCTCACAGTGTCTACAGAGAATCCAGCATCAACATTTCTCCAAGTCCATGTAAAAAAGAATGTCTCTGGGAGGTGGTTTCTGCCGAAGGAGGCGATGCCAACTGTTAAATGAAGAGATGTACAGTACATGCTTTTTTCCTAAGTTACATTTCTGCTGAATTTTGTTGAATTAATTTTTAAGGAATTTTTTTTTTGGTGGATCATGTCACATTAACCTATCTGCACTGCTGAAATAAAGATTATTTGCCTGCATATATTGAAAAAGACAACAGTTTTTGAGGGGTGTCCTGCACATGTTACCTTGTTTGCATGTATTTCCATGTTGCTACAAAATCCACTTGTAGCTCCACCTCTTGGGCTACAGTAGATCTTCAAGTACAAAGGAAAGACATTCCAAGTGTCTGCCATTTTGGGTATGACATTTTTGTCACACACTTGCCTGAAAGGAAATGATTGTCCTATCAGGACATTGGTGTCAGTGACGGGCTGAAAATGCAGGCACACACATTGCATAGCAAGTTACCTGTGACTGACACTAAGATGGTAGAAATCCCAAGAAAAATTGAATAGGGCATACAGCTCAGTGTTGAAAGCAGTCGTACAGGAAGGATATCTGGAAGGGAGGAGAAAATGCCCTCAGAGCATCACAAAGCTCCGAAATCACTGGGATGAGTTGTCACAGATAAATGTTGTTATCTTCAAAGGTGAGAATACACTCATTCCTGTCTCAGAGAAGAAATTATGGTATATTCATGCTGGTCACATAAACATGGAAGCAAGAGCTGGAGTCATAACATTTTGGTCCAGGACTGTAATGCATATTCAAAATATGGCTGAAAAATGTTCCTGCTACTCAATCATCAAGGAGTTAAGTCACAAGATCCCCGACAGGCTATAACACCTTATAGCTACAGACCCGTTTACACAGAACAAAGACTATGCTACCATGGACTACTGCAGCTTTATAACACCATTTCTACAGAAAGTAACACGTTTCAGATAATTACTCTAATACATACAGTATTTAATATTTTTGCAAATATATTCACCTGCAATATAACTTCCAAAAAGTTTGGGACGCAGTGCAAAATGTAAATAAAAACAGAAATCAATGATTCACAAATCATATAAACCCATATTTAATTGAAACATTAATAGAACAAAGACAACATATCAAATGTTGTACCTGTGAAATGTTATTGTTTTATGACAAATATATGCTGAATTTTAATTTGATGCCAGCAACACATTTGGAAAAAAAAGTTGGGACAGGGGCAACAAAAGACTGGGAAAGATGTGTAATGCTAAAACACATCACCTGGTTGAATATCTCATAATTAATTAGGTTAATTGGCATCACTCTGTGAAAGACTCTTTGGGCAAATAGTGCAACAATTTCCGAACAATGTTCTGCAATGTAATATTGCAAAGAACTTGAGAATTTCATCATTTGCGGTACATAATATCATCAGAAGATTCAGAGAATCTGGAGAAATCTCTGTACGCAACAGCCAAGGCCTGATGGGAATGGGCAAGTGGAACAGTGCCAAAAACATCACTGCATGAGCTCGGGAACACTGCCAAAAATTGTTTGTCACTGCATCCACAAATGGAAGAAACCTACCATGCAAAGAAGAAACCATATCTAAACATGATCAAGAAATGCTGTTGACTTCTCTGGGTCCGAGCTCATTTAAGATGGACTGAGGCAAATTGGAAAACTGTCCTATGGTCTGATGAATCAAAATTTCTAATTCTTTTTGGAAATCATGGACACCGCATCCACCAGGGTAAAGAGGAAAGGGACCATCCAGCTTATCAGCGGACAATTCAAAATTGCACATCTGGGAAGACACCATTAAGGTTGAACGATATATACAGGTTTTGGAGCAACGTATGCTGCCATCCAGATGATATCTTTGAGAGAAGGCCCTGTGTATTTCAGCAAGACAATGCCAAACTGTATTCTGTGTGTATTACAATAGCATGGCTCTATATTAGAGTCTGGGTGCTAGACTGGCCTGCCTGCAGTCCAGACCTGTCACCCACTGAAAACATTTGCAGCATCATGAAAATGAAAAATACGACAAAGGAGACCCCGAACTGTTGTGTAGCTGAAATCCTATATCAGGAAAGAACGGGACAGCATTTCACTTTCAAAACTCTAGCAGCTGGTCTGCTCAGCTCCCAAACGTTTACAGAATGCTGTTAAAAGAAGAGGTGATGCAACACAGCGGTAAACATGCCCTTGTCCAAACTTTTTTGAAATGTATTGCTGCCATCAAATTCAAATTAAGCATATTTGTCATGAAACAATACACTTTCTCAATTTCAACAGTTGATGTGTTGTTTGCTTGTTCTATTTTAAGTTAAATATGGGCTATTGTGATTTGTAAATCATTGTTTAATTTATATTTTACACAACGTCCCAACTTCTTTGGAAACAGGGTTATGCAGCAAGCATGTAATATCCTTAAAGTAACAGAGAAATTAGTCATTCCAATCAACTGGAAAAATGTTTGCAAGAATTTTGGTACAAATATATTATGCATACTGTGACTTTAGCTATTTCAGAAGCTCCAGTACAGTGAAAGAGTGAAATATTTTTCTCCTACAGAAGAAAGGAGACATAATTTTAATGTGGTAATATACTCAATGTGCATGGTCTGAACATCCCAAAGAGAGTGCAGATGAGAGACTAAGCTACAGTCGTGAGCCATAAAAGCATGAATGTGTGAGCAGTTTCATTAATTTATTCATGCGTTCATCCTGAATAGTATATGCTGTACCCAGCATTTAACAGAAAATATGACCTTAAAGATTAGAAAAAAACGTGATTCTAAGGTGAAAAATCTCATTAGAGCACCCAGGATGGTATGCAGACAATATACAGCTAATATCCATCCATCTTCTAACCAGCTGTCCAGGTCTGGGTTACCTGGAGCCATTCCCAGGGTAGATAATGTCCATCACAGGGCACATACACACGTCATTGATGATTTATAGACATCAACTTGTCTTTGGACTGCAGAAGGAGGCCAGAGTGCCCAGATGAAACCTGCACCACCCAGGGGCAGCTTGCAAACACACCCACCCAGAGCTGAGGCTGGAATTGAATCCCCGTCCCTAGAGATGTGAGCCTTCTTGCCACCCACAGTTAATATTCAGTTTTAAAAAAAGTATGCCTAACTTATCAGGTTTACTTGCAAATTTGTCTCTGGGCAAAAACAGTATTTTGCATTTCAGTTCATGTTTCACGGACCATAATTTTATAATCAGGGCTGCACAATATACAGACTTTTGAAAACCACAGAAAAAAATCAGACAGAGCAGACTCAATAAAACATATTCTTTAATGTTTTGTATCATTATTAGTCCACATTGCAATGGTTTAGCAAGTAAGAAAAATGTGTGAATTTCACAACTAAATCCACATCTCAGTTTATTCATGCTGTAACAACGTATACAACATAGTGCTGTCATGATTGTGCAAAGCTTTTTTGTTTAAACTCTACTTGGCTTGCAGGTAAAACTGTCTTTAACACAAATCACAGTAATTACTTAGCCTTTAGAAGAGTCACATTTTATTTTTTATTTATGTATATCATATATATAAAATACAATTATCATAAAGTACAAGGCAGACAATCACAATCTATACATGGTTTGCTTGTTATACGTTTTATAAATAAAAGAATCTCAGAGATATTATTTACAAAAGTAAAGCCACGCGAGATGATCATTATTACACACCCTGTGTCAGGTTTTTTCCACAATGTGCCAGATTTACTACTCTTTCGATTACACCCATTAGCCAAAAATATATTGGAAAAAAGCAGTAATGAAAATAATGACCGAATCTCCAAAGACACAAAACATCTCTGCATATATAATATTTACTGTACATACAAATATCTTATATGCGCACAAAGAAAATGCCTTTATGAAAAAACAGAAATAAGGTTGAATCATTACAATATTTAAGAGGCTTAGGAGTACACCTAAACGAGTTATAGCATGACAGACATTTCTAAACATTCTTCTGTTGATTTGTTTAGAAATAAAGGAGGCATGTAAAGACAGGTAGAAAACGAATGTTGAGATTTTGTTGTTAGTATTGGGGTTGTGGTTAAACAGATAACTTACTATAGGGCCAAAAATGCTGCTTTTGGGGATCTCTGACCACTGAATAGCATCCAGTTGATTATTTCATTGGATGGTCATACATTTCTCTGCCTGACGTATGATACGTAGCATCTGTGGACACCAAACCGTACAGTTGGAAACTGCACCCAGGTGAGTATTACGCCCTAAACGCTCTGCCCGCTGAGCAGTGGCCGATTAACTACAAGCGAACTGAAGTGGTGTGAAAGCAGAAATTAAGATTAGGCTTAGAGGGAAAAGTGCAGAGAAAACTGATTTCAGGAAAACATGGGGATGCCATTTTGGAATCATTGTTTTGTTTTCGTTTTTGCAGAATAGCAAAAATGCTGGAATGTTAATGACAGAAAAAATCAGATATCTCCAGGCTCCAGCTCTTCTCCTACCTCTCTGTTCTGCTCCTCAGCACCATCTACATTCCCATATCCTGTCCACCATGACACCCCCGTCACACCTCCTGGCTGCTGCAGACATCCTCACATTTTCCTAATCTACTCTCCCTCCCACTCTCCCACGAAGCCCCGCCCACAAACCCCATAGCCGTCTGTGTCCCCCAAAGCCCCGCCCACAAACCCCATAGCCGTCTGTGTCCCCCAAAGCCCCGCCCACAAACCCCATACCCGTCTCGGTCTCCCCCAAAGCCCTGCCCACAAACCCCATAGCCTCTGTGTCTCCCAAGGGGCTAGGGGATCTTGTGTTGCAGGGGTGCTGGCAGAAGCATTGGCTGCTGCCGAAAGCCTTCTTCAGGGCGACAGACCTCCCTAAAGTAGGGCTTGGATGTAAGCGTGGGATGATGCCCATGGCATAGATGGGCATTATTCTGGTAATAGAGATGATCCTGTGGGGGGCCGGAGTTGACGCCCCCAGGGGCTGAGTGACTGCGGCACGGTAAGGGCTTGGCAGAGTGGATGTCGTCGGGTTCAGAGGAGCTGTAATGGACGTACAGGTAGGGTGCCCCCGTGACCTCGTCTGGAGTCCAGGCCTGACTGGGAATGGACTCTAAGGTGTCCGTTCGACCCGGTGGCTCTGACGGCGGGGCACACTGGCTCTCGCTCAGGGAGGACACGCCGCTGCTGGCACTGCCCGACAGGGTAGAGTTGCTGCCATCCAGGCCAGAGTGGAGGATTGTGGGCGAGGCAGGGATGGGATGCAGAGGAGACTGCAGATCGAGACAAAGTCAAGTTCACCCACTGTCACTGATGGGGCGAGCACTGCTGGAACGGCCAGCCGGTCAGGTGACAGTGTACAGGTGTAAGACACAGGCGAATGATACCTTTCTCAGTGACCGTGCAGGGAAGACAGGATGGCCGTCACTCATATGAGGCTGGGCGGGATCAAAGTGCGTCAGGAAGAGTCCTAAATGGCAAACAAAGCATGTAAACATACATGGGATGGACACTTCTGGATAATTTACAATAAGCTGGTTCACATCATTGGGGAGAAAATTAAGGAGACACAATTTTGGACAGTCAGAGAATGTCCCTAGCAACAACAGCATTAGAGGGCAAGGTGTAGGGGAATCACAGTAAATCAGTCTTCTTCAATGTTGTGTAATGCTTTAATTCTGCACATGGAAACAAAAGAGAAAAAAAACAAATGACAAAGGTGGGCTTCATAAAGAATATATATACCTCTTTCCGCCAGTGAGAGGTTCGGATCACTGCATGGCTTACATGGACCACTCTGGTGGCATAGCGAGCGCTGGAAACTGTTGGGCTGCAAATACAGGAAGATGTGATGTGCAGTGGAACATAACACCAGCTGGTCACTGCGAGATGACAGGAACAGCGTCTACCTGTTTGTTCCCAGCCTGTGCCCAGTTTTTTCTCAGTGCCACCAGGTTACGAGGCTGCTGTAATATGCTTACCTGCTCGCTCTCAAATGCACTGGGGTACATGGTGCTACTGGGCCTTTCCTGATGTCGGGGCAGCAGTGTCATCAACTCCCGATTATTCCTGTGCTTATCTGGCATGGAGGGGGACCCTGTCACCGAGCACAGCATAGGACAGAGCAGGATAATGTATGTAAGCCACGAAACCCAGAACACGCACACACATCCTTTCCCATTTCATACTCATATCTTCATGTTTATTTAAAATTCATCTTTTCTTTCCACTCATGAATTTCCTGCATGTCCAGTAGAATCTGCAGTTCAAGGTGGCCTTAGGCAGGCAGGCAGACGCATGATCGTACTGCATGCAGTGACAGGGAAGAGCCCCATTGTTATGGTTACCCTCAGCCACAAGAGGGCAACCTCACCCACTTCTACTTTGAAGTCCCCATGGGAGGAGAGCAGAGAAAAGGCAAATTCCTATTTCCAATTAAAAGCGGGGCACACCCACTAATCAAACCACAGTACTGTCTAGAAGTATCTCTCAGAGGACCCAGTCTGTGCCACTACTTTACATAAACGCTGTAAAGAACCTTCCAAAGATGGCACCCTCGTGTGCTGTCTGCTTCTGTGTTTTCTGCCTGCACTCTTAATGCCCATTTCCCGTTCTTGGCTTCTTGTCTCCAGCTGGGTACTTTGTACCGCCCTCCTGCCTTACTCTGCTCAGAGTGTTGAAGGCCAAGGTCTCACGTCCTCTGCCGCAGGTCTAATAAGGGCTATCTCTCGTCAGCAGTCCTGGCTGCCTTCCAGCGCCCTGAGGCTCAGCGATGTAGATCGGCAGTCACTGTGGGCAGGATCCCGTCTCCTCATTTCACACTTACCTCTTCCACTAGAGTGAGCAGAGTTGATTATCTGTGAGGGCGCAGAGTGCGTGGAACTTAAGCTGGAGGAGGAGGGGCTTGGCTGAAGGGCAGGCAGGGAAACAAAAAAGCAAAAGACAAACATTAACAGAGCCTACAAATGCTTTACCCAAAGAATTGTATAATATTCACTTCACCAATGAACATACACAAACAAGAATTTTATAACGTTCATAAACGTTCATGACTTCATTTCAGATATGACTCTTTCAGTGAATTCAAGCTTCAGTGAAATTCTGCAGAACCTGTGCTTCCCAGGAACCCAAGGTGTGATTTTAACTTCCAGTGCCACTGTATTCCCAGTGAATGGTTATAATATTATATGCACTGGACAAGATACCAACTGAAATGTATGTAACCAAGGACATAGGAGAGAGATTTATATTAATAATTTATATGCAAAGTTTTTTGGGGAAATGAATGAATCCAAATTAAATTTTGGGGGATGCATGTCCCCCCCCCTCGGGTTCCTACAGCCGTTTATGTAACTGACAGAAGTCATGGAAGAGCGATGAGATTACAGCCTAGCGAGGGACCCTAATACAGCTGTTATTAAAGGCAGTCAGCTGGCATGGGTTTGGGTCAGGTGTCGAAGGGACACACCTGCATGCGGATAAAGTCATCGCTGTGCTCGCCTGTCAGGCTGTCTGTCACGATGGCCAGGTTCCCCATCTCGGTGGAACTGTGAGAAGACAGGGAAGACGACGACTGGCGGAAGGAGCCCAGCAAGTTCATGTGTCTGCAGGGCGAGAAACACAGGAAGCAAAATGGTCAGCAAGGGACCCCAAGTTCGGCATCCGGCAGGACACATCATACACATCACGGGCATAAAATTAGCAAGCCTCCTAACATCAGACATGCTTTTCCTTTTTCAGCTTATTTACATTTTATTCCGTTAGGGAGCAGGACACAAAATATAATTTTAGATGCATGATAAATGTTCCCTGCTTTCTGCTAAATACCATTAAACAGAGGTCACATGTGTGAAAATGTGAGGTCAAATGATATTAGTGTGTCAAAGCGTGAAGGAAAGCTATTGACTGACCCATGCAAGCTTGTACACGGACGACTGTGCGCCGTGTGTGAGGCTTACCCATGCGCGTGCATCAGTCTCATGCTCTCAGGGTTTGTTGCAAGGCCTCGGGGGGAGCTGAATCTGGAGCATGTGGGGCTCAGCTTTTCCAGGCCTGGCACCCCCTGTAGGCAGACAGAAATACATGCTTTAGTACCCCCTAGCCCTAGAACCGGAAGAAAATACAAAAACTATTTGTAGGAACTGTTTGGGAACTAAAAAGAACATTAAATGGTTTTGGTTTATGACACAACAGAAGCACATGATTATGAGAAGGACACAGATCAATAAAATCATTAGATCAAATGAGTGATTAAACATAGACAAGTGCCAGCCAGCGAACTGACCCGACAAAAGCCACTCCTCATCATGTAGAACTGATCAACCAGCTTCTTATGCAGGGGTCGCATATCTGGCTGCACCAGTCTCTCATGCACTGCCAGCCCAGCTCCCAGGATGTGCACCTGGATATCGGCACCATAGAAAAGCATTCAGCCCCGGGCTGACAGGCTTCACCAGGCAAACACATGGCTTGTTTCCTCAGTACTTCAATAAGTGCGTACTGCGGTCTAAGAGAAGGTGCTAGTCATCAGATCTGTTTATATGCATCACTGTCAGCCAGAGATTGCGGCCTCACCTGTTCCTGCATGGCAGCTCTGAGTTTGCTGATCCTCTCTACATCCTGCGGATGGTTCCCGATGTACTCCTCATCAAAGAAGGCCTGCACAAAGACCACACTCTATCAGCATAGCCAAGACCTCAGTCATCGATTCATTAAGGTGATAATGTAAAGAAAGATGTGACCTAGAACATAATCCAAAAAAATTATAGATATATTTGAGAGAGAAATATAATGATGAAGAGATTTTAAAGCCAACAATATTCAGGGTAATTAAATATCCATCCAATTTCTGAACCCAGTTCTCCCGGGGGGGTCCAGAGCCCATCCTGGAAGCTATGGGTACAAGGCAGGGAATAACCTAAGATGGGGCACCAACCCATCGCAGGGCACACACCCCATTCATACCTAGGGGCACTCATGTTTTTGAACTGTGCGGGAGAGGGAAGACCAGAGTACCCAGAGAAACCCCCAGTGACATGGGGAGAACATGCAAACTCCACACACATGGAGCCATGGTGGAGACTCAAATCTTGGTCCCAGAGGTGTGAGACGACAGTGCTCACTACTGCGCCATCATGCCGCCCCCAATAGAGTTTCATTTCCCCCCCCCATAATCTGTAACAGGCAGATTCTAGACTTTATCACTTTAGTTGATACGAGGGGTAACAAGTAAACTTTTTAAATAAACCTGTTTTGCTCAGTTTGGGTATTTATATACACGATTCAACTTAGTTTCAGCTCATTAAATTGGGACTTCTAGAATATATAGAATAACAAGATTTCAATACACAAGGAAAAAGAACACATTAATGTCTTTTATATAACCTGTGCCACTTGTGAAATGGCAACCACAATAGTGTTAGAAACACCTTGAAAATACTTTGATCTATCATTTAGAAATGCTTGCAAATTAAGTGCAAATATACTAGGATATCTATTTAACGAGGAAATAAATCATTTTCTGCAGTGACTTACCTATCAGTGGATATGGGGGAGCTTTATGTAAAATCAAGTGGAGCACAGCTACACACCAGATATCAGGTAGTACATGATGCACGATATTAAATTGACAGTAAAATGTCTGACACATTTACTTTCAAGTTCATTACAATCCATCCATGGTTTAATGTTTCGTAAAGAACCTCAAAATGTCTTATCATGTCATTTCTTAGAAACATTTCAAGATGAATGGGAGTGATTTAGAGATGACTGGCAGTGAGTTATAAGCATCTTTAGCTTCCATACAAGCTCTCCTAACGGCTTACAGATTCTGGCCCTCACCTCCTGGTATCTGGCCACGCCCCCGTTGACAGCAGCATCAATCACCCCATTGAGACACATGCTGAGCTGATTGACGTTGCCGTGTGGCTGCCGATGCTGGTACTGGCTGATCAGCATGCGGAGCTCCTGGTTCTTGTTCTCCACCACAGAAATAGCGTTCTCCACCGGGCTCACCTCCACCTGGGACACACAAGCAGCCCATCCAATCGTCACAGAGTAAATTTCTAAAATAAACCAGCTAAATATAGTTAATATACAGGTGTAATAACAATGCCATAAATGAAAGTAACACAAGTTATACCGTATCAAGATCCTGAATGGAAAAATAACAAAAGAAACAAAAAAAATATGTGATGTTAGTTATATGGTAACAGTACAGTACTAATGAGAAATAAATGTACAAGTGCTGTCAGAGTGAAGCAGCATCTGTTACATTCAAGATGTAGATCAAGCTTCCAGGCTTTAGAGCTCAACACAGCTGATGTTCAGCCAAGACACAGAGGCACCTGGGCCTAGGCGATAACAACAGCACATCTCACAGCAACCAATGCCACTCACTAGATCACGCTTTTCCACTTGGGCCCAACGTGAGATACTTGGGAGTGGATGAGAGAGGGTCAGAGTCGTCCGTTCAATCCAAAGGCTCTGAGGAAACGCAATAGAACCTGACTCAGTAAATCTAGATCTAGATAATGCCTCAAAAATCACCCAGGAAAGTTTACCTTCAGCCACCCAAGCCTTTCCAACATTGCAGTGATCAGATCATCATTACCAATACAACACATACAAATGATCATTTAGCTACCAATTGCATTCTGTCAATTTGTTATCTAGAAAAGGTAGAAGACTACAGTCAGCATTGTGCTTCAGTGGTAGCTTATGGCAGTAGACTCAACGACACCATGTGACTACCTTGATCTCGTTCTCTCTGTCTTTCATGCCCTTGTGGAAAGGACGATCAAAGCGAAAATGGCACACATTGTTGACACGGTAAAAGCTCTTGATGCGGTCTGATACACGGTGCATCTGAAGCACATCGACATTCTCTGGCACAGGAGTCACTGCGTAAATCTGGAGGTCTGGGAAGAACAGTGTCAAGGACAGAAGGTGGCACAATTGCACAGTTGTATGTAGACGCAACAGACACGGTTAACAGAAGAAATGGTTTAGTTAGGATACATTGACCATCAAACTGCAAAACAGAGTCATCTGGTTGACTAGGGTGTTGCATGGCGATTGCTTCTGGAAATTCTCCCAGCATCCTTTGCTGGAAGGCTTCAAGCCGCTCATAATCATGTCCCCGGCACACAAACTCCTTGTTCTGATTGGAAAATAGAAATGAAAAAGGCAACGTATTTGCGTTATTGTTTTGACCAGTGCGTTAGCTAATGAAGTAATTCTTGCATAATCTTGGGTAAAAGAGTTGGTTTTAACCTACCCTGAGGAAGAAAGGGAATTTCTTCCCATAAAAGCCCACTCTAAAGAACTCGGGTTCAAGGCGTGGCTGCTCCAGGATGTTGTCATAGTAAGTTGCTTCCAACTTCTGCCATGGGGACGACACACAACTTTTCATTAAGGCAGCAGCCCTGACTAATATGTCCACACTGCCAATAATACTCATATTTCTGAGATGAGAACAACATAGATTTTAAGTAGAGCTTGAGTTGTAAGGTATTTACGGAGGTCCAACCATCCATTTCCTTACCACCTCCCACTGTTGATGGTCATGGAAATATTTATAAAGTGAGCTATATAAATGAGTGTAGTGAGGCCCAATTAAGGTAAAATGCACCAGGGCTGCAACTGCAAGAATGATAGTTAAGTGAAAGTGTGAACGATGGGACCTCGCTCACCCTTATCCAGCTCAGGCTCTGGTAGTCATAGGTAGCCTCATACTGGGAGGCCAGCTCACGACACACTGGTATTCCGTATTCCCAGCTCTGCACACAAACACATAGGATTTTCTGTGGTTTACTGTCGGAATACACTGGTTTGTTACAGGCAAATGATGCAATGTTCTAAATTAAAATGTTGTCATACTTAACCAGCTTAAAAGGTTATCGAAAGCCTGTAACGAGCGTCAAACACAATTTTGAGACAGAAATTCATCTCCTCAAGCCGTGTTTTGCCCCAAAAAACTGTACGTTTACATTGCAACACAGACACATCTGCTTACCGCGTCGACAAAATATGCCGACAAAAAAAGGTCTTTGTTAAGGGACGTGTTTTCCTTTGGCATAAATTATATTAGCATTAGCGCATCTATATGAGAAGAGAGGGCAGGGGAAAATGCCCTGTGCTCCTGCTTGTTTAAGAATAGGGTTGATGGTGGTAGTATGTCAGTATGGAGCCGTTCTTGGTGTTGCAGCCACCGTCTAATAAACGAAGGTACGCGTTGCTCTAATGACCCGTCACCTGGCTGATTTATTTTCCTTTATGCTTCAGACAACAGCATCCATGGCACTGGAAAGGGTTTCTTTTTATGTCAACTGTTATCCAGCTTGTTTCCGAGGCCAGCTCCCGCGGCGCACTACAAAGAGGCCACGGCATTGCTAGTGTTTTTTGCACGAGCATTTCCCACCTTGCTCTGTGAAAATGGCACATAATGTAAGTAACCAGCATGCTAACAAATCTTAAACGACATAATTTTGTGCATCCAGTTTCCCATAGTAAGTCAGAGTAGAGCATATTTTGCTGCTTGAAATGCAGAGAGCTATCATACATAAGCTTCTTTCACACTCCACTGACCTCTCAATTGCCAAAGCTAGTCTCATAGCTTAGTGCTGAATCTCAAAATGCACAATATGGTTACTCGACATTGACGGCACTATGGGAGAGACAGTGCGTGAGGGTGTTGTTTTTATGCAGACTGTTGGTGTACTTCACTTTTCTGCCACAGGGGGCAGACAGGTTGCACGATACAGCTGCAGCAGAATCTGACTGAGACAGATACTGTAAATATTAGCCAAAAAAAAAAAAAAACCCCGAACAAGAGAACCAGGCCTGACACATGTATGTGTCCATGTGTAAATGTATTTCTGCATGTATGTTTACGTGTTGCATGTGCAAGGATGCGTCTGCATGGGCGTAATGTACCTTTCCTTTGTTGAAGTAGTGGATGATCTTGCGGCTCAGGGCCTCCTTTCGCTGCCACTCGCTCTGGGCCGGGTAGTGAAGGAATTCCCTGAGTGGGCGGGCTTCCCAGTGCAGTAGGTCCCAGTACAGGAGCAGTGTGAAGCCAGCCTCTGGAGACACATGCGCGGCCATCAGTGTGTGTGTCTATGTGTGAGTAGAGCTACAAAGATGTATGTAAAACACTGCTAATACAGACTGTCCCTGACTTACAACTGGGTTCCCTTCCGACCGACAGGTGATACCTCAGTATGGACATGTTGGAATAGGACAATTGCGTTGAATTTTAGTGTGAGAATGAGACTGGGAGGTGCGTGTGCAGCTGGGATGGTCAGACTGGCGTACAGTTCACCATTTTCCCGGCAGGTAAGATAGCGGCAGCTATCTACGCTATACAGCGTCCACTAGGTAGCGTAGCGCTGTCGGGCGAACGGCCACCCGAAGTTTATTTTTACATGCTGTACTTCAACAAAGGAACTTCAGTTGTATGTGCGAGTCTTGGTCAGTCGTACAGGTTGTGCGTCAGGGACAGTTGGTACCTGAGACGGCCGTTAGGCTGCACTCACCTGTGTAGCTCTCCGTTTTCAGGTGAGCATTACACAGTTTGTGGATGTAGCGAATATACAGCTCTTCTTTATTCATGTCAGACTTACCAAAGCTCTGGGGAAAGAGCAAGCATGACCACAGAGCAGAACAAAAAGCTCATCAACCTTTTTATCAACACTGCACAACGTTTGTTTACAAACAGCCGTTTTGTTGATATTACTATATGTCCTTATGTGGAGCGTTTATCGCAGTATGCAGACAACTCTGATATCTTCAGCTCTAGTGAACGAGCACATGGGTGCAAATGATTTTTAATTGTACTACTATTTTGTAGCAAGAGTCAAATATGTATTACAATTCTATTGGTAAATATACAGCTGAATACAAGGGTGAATTCTGAAGCTTTCAGTTAATAAGTCATTCTGGAATTTCATTCTGGATACCAGCAAGTTGATTGTGCAGCCCGATTTCTTGTTCTCCGCCTCGCCCGCTTTCAGGCAGTTCCTGGAAAGAGAGGACACGGATCTCACAGTACTCTCACCCTAGACGGCCCACTGGCTTCTATTCTGATTGAGAAACTGCATTTAATTCATTAGCGAGTGCGTTAATGTATATCGCGGTTTTTCTCATCAGTCACTGGACTTACTTGTAATCAAGCACACGCTCAGTCAGTCGCATGACAGATGTGACGAAAGAGATGCTGATCTGTCTCCAGGTCTCCTGCTCGATCCGCTCCAAAAGGCTGGTGAGACCGGAAGATCTCAGTTACCAGTAAGAACGTGGAACGAGACTAATGTGTAAATGAGCGGGTAGCGACCCTGGGCTTAGCGCTGGCATTGTTAAAGGCTAGACGGCAGAGAGGTTTGTCTTACCTGGGATACGGGCCAAAGAGTTGGGTTCTAGTCCCCCGCAGGAGGGAGAAAAAACAAGATGATTACCTTACGGCATAAAAACGTTGCCAGCACAGAGGTAAGAAGCATAGCACTTAGGCTTTTGCGGAGGGCAGAATTTGCACGGAAGAATGTGATAATTATGGAAATAATACTAAATCGAATGTACTAGAGTGTGACACTGCCTTGCTGATGATGCCAGTTTCATTCATTTGCATTTGAGTGACGGCTATCAGTCACAGAACTGAACGTATGAGCGTGTGAGTCTGAGGCCACATGGCTGCCAGCACTCACAGCAGGCCGATTAGCTTTCGGTGGCTCTCATCCCCCTTCCCCTCTGACACCAGGGTGTCCAGCTTGTCAGCCAGCTCCGCCTCCACCTGCACGGACACAGCAGCAGACGACATCACGGCACGGCCCAGCAGCAGGAGCTCCTGCCATGGCGGTACAGCAGTCAGAGAGAACAAGAGAGGCGGCAGGCAGGGGGGGGGGGGTCACCTGTTTGAAGTTGCCATTCCTGCGCTGCTCCCAGTCTATCATGTCATGGAGGATGGGGATCATGATGTTCCTCACTTCATCTTGAGGAACCAATGTCACGCCCAAAAAAGCCCCGATAGTTCCGGGGATAAAGTGTATCTTGTCCTCACCTGGATGTCAAAACATGTACAACCAAAACTATATGATGACAATTGATGTGTAGCCTATATGACAGATATATTAAGACCAGGTTTGGATTGTCTCAGACTCAGGCTGTGGGATATATATCGATAAAATATTGTATTGTGATTATGAACATCCATATCGTCATCAGTTCTAATATCATGAGTACCGTGATATAGCCTAGATACTTGTTTTCTTGCATATTTGACAGTCAAAGTGTGCTTTTTACACAAATTTCATCAAGGTATCATACCTCTCACATGCACCATAACTATTAGTCAGCATAATGAGAAAAACTCTAAACCAGCTGTCATATTTTACTGTTTTCTATATATGAATTTTATATTATCATGATAAATACCAATATTGTGAAGATCTCTGAAAATACTGTGATATCATTTTGGGGCATATCACTCAGCTCTATCTCAGACTTGCATTAGTGGGGTTTTTAAGGGTCATTACAAATACAGTGGTACCTCAGAACTCAAACTTAATCTGTTCAGAACTCCGGATCGAATCCTAAAATGTTCGAGTTCTGATCGAATTTTCCCCATAAGAAATAATGGAAAACCAATTAATTGGTTCCCGGCCCCAAAAAATTACACCGAAATATGTTTTTTAGCATTTAAACACAGAATGAACCGGACAAATCAAGAAAAGCATATACTGTACTAAACACATCTAAGCAAATTTATCAAAACAGTAATTTTTAAAGTAAGAAAATAAATTTATCCAAACAATGTGTAAAGTTAAAAAAACTATGTCATGCCCCGATCTTCCGCTCCTTCCATGTGCCACGCCCCCTCGTTAACCGCGTGTGGAATCCCCGTGTGATCAGCTGTTTCTGGTTATTGTCACTAGTCCTCTGTATTTCGTCCGCATTTCAGTTTGTTTCCCCAGTCTGGTCATTGTATTGTCCATCTGCGTTTTGCCTGCCTTACCTGTAATTAAACCCCGTATTCCCCGATACCCTGACGTCTGCGCCTTTGTTTCCATTCCGTCCCCGCTCAGCACGACAGTATTATTATAATTAAATGTATTAATGGTTTATTATTAATATTAAAATAATGAATAAGAAATCTTTATTTTTAAATGTATTTTATTATATAATAATAATTACTGTTACTGTCTATCATTGTCTAAATGTATTTTTACTGTCTAAATATATGTATTCAGCTAGTGTAAGCAAGCACGATGCTATCATGGTGAATGCGAGGCTGAGACTGAAGCGTTACCCTTCGTTTCCACTGAGAGACGTGCCGCGTGACTCATTTCCCCGCGCGTACAAGTTATCTTAGGTCGGTGTTCACGGTTTGACTTCTGAGATTCAGATCAAGTTCTACGTAATTTTTTTTGGAACTGGTTGGTTCGACTTTTAAGAAATTCAAGCTATAATGAGTTTGAGAACTGAGGTACCACTGTATTAGTCTCGCATTGTTAAGATGGATCCTGACCCTGAGCCAGGATTCCCCAGTTTGAGTGTGAGTGGTTTGACCAATCATATTCAGGTCATATGACAGCGTCAGCATGAGGGTATTCAAAGGACTGCTCTATTACCTATATTACAGCTTTGACTGTTTTGAGTTTTAACGTAATTATTCTGTGATATATTTGATTTTCTGTGGCTCTGTGTGTGTTTGTTTAGAGTCTCACCAAGGTGCTGCCACATGTTATAAAGGTCATACGCCATTGTCACTCTCATGTCTCCATACCTGCCAAAACAGAACACCAGTCTCACACAGGTGGTCTTTACAGAGATGGCATCAAGCATGATCCGTGGTCTGGCAATGTGTCAAGATGAAGAGGAATCATTTTCCTGATCAAACTAATTTTTTAAGACCTCACACAGCAACCTTGCATCTACAGAAAAAAATAAACATCTCACTATTCTATTCAGGTGTGGACTTACAATAAGGCAATAAGGTTAGGCAGCCTCCCGGGCCCCGAAAACTAGGGGTCCCATGAAGACAGAATTTCCAGAAGTTACATTCATGGATATAACATAATATGATCATTTAAATTATAGTTACACGTCTGTTATTTACATTTTGAGCGATAGTCTTCAGGATAGACAAAGTTGCCCCCCCCCATCTCAGCTGTAATGGACTATTCCTACTTTGAGATCTCGTGCTACCTAGTTTTCTTTTACCACTGGACTCTAGCAGTAGGCTACCATTGTTTCACTGCCAAGTGAACTGGCACAAAGTAGCCTAACAGAAGAAGATAATGGTGTAAATATACAAGACTAACATTACATCTCCCGTGTCTTTGACACCACCCTGCTAGAGTGGTACACAAATTGTGACGACATGGAGAAAACACAATTAAAGGAGACATGCAAAAATTCAAGACTAACCTTAGCCTCGGGGGTAGAGTAAGGTATAGGCCAGGCCAGGATCCAGCACAGTTTGCAGATTTCCCTGTTCAAACACACCTGCTAAACCTAGTAATTAGCTGATTAAGATGTTTTTCAGCAGGGAAACCTGCAATCTGGCTCTCAGGACCGGAATTGGCGAGCCCTGCTATAGGCTATCCTAGGAACGGTAAAACTTCGTAAATTCGGCCGATCGATCTGCTGGTATGATACCCCCCCCCACCCCCCGTTCTGCAGGTTTTACCACTGACACCCGCACTTTGATTAGCAGATTATTGCTAATCAAATTATTATTATTATTATATTGCTAATCAGATTATTTTTAAATTCCTCTCGTTTCTCTTTCGACTCCTAAACATAGCTGAAATGGCCCACTTAGATGGCCCCCAACTCAAATCGGCCTAGGGCCCCCAGAGAAGTTAGCCCTTCCCTGATTGTATTCACACTGATTCCTCATCATCAGACAATTCCTGAGTTAGATGGGTTGCCCACTGTCACATGTTCAGCACGGTGCTCAAAAACACACATAAAGCACAAAGACCTCACACTACCATGTATTAAAGGTTTTTATGAAGTTAGTCATATTTCAGGCTTTTATTAGGTACATGCCCTTATCGTTTCTTATAACTATAGATTATTTCACCAAAACTATATTTTTTGCAGTTGTGCTACTACATGCACAGCTACTGTCACAATTTATAGATTCTAATTTTTAAATCTGGCTCCAAGATGCAAAGTGATTTCTTGGTGTCCAGACTGAAGCTCTGACCACAGTTGGCCATTCTGCTCTGAGCAGTAGGTGATCTTACTTGTCCAGCACTTTATTCCGCTTGGCTGGGCTGAAGGCCTCCAACTGAAGGCTTGGCTGGCTGATGTAGAGGACAGCCAAGCTAAAGTAGGAGCTCCACACCTGTCAGACCACAGTTACACACATAAGCTCATAACAACATGCTGCCGATTGCTGCAGGTAGCCTGCAGGAGCTGAAGAACGGGATCTTCCACTAAAGGCTGGTTGTTCTATCTGCATCAGGGTAAATACTTTAGACGCGAGCACAGTACTTTAACCTGTATTGCTCAATACAATTAGTAATTTATTGCGTTATCATTTATGAGTTTAAGACCCAGTATAGTTCAAACGTGGTCACATCTGCAGGGATCCACAGAGTGAAGCATAAATCCTGTGTGGGCACACAGCTAACTCAGGATTTCTGCCAAGTAACTCACCTTGAAATCAAAACTGGCCTCTGTGAAATTCTTACGCAATGCAAGCGATAGATGCTGGGTGGTTTTCAGGATGATGCTGTAGGAGAAAAACCGTTTTGTAAACGGGCTTCACAACCAGACAAATCCTTACAAAACAAACAAGACTATCCATCGGGACTCAAATCTGAACGATATTTCCACAGGCAACAAAATCATCTCTTTACTGTCTGATTTACTTCAATTATTTTGACCTTGAATATGAACACGGAGGGGGCACGCTGTTTCATCACTTATTAAAGCAACACAGACCTTTAATACTCTGGTTTTACTTGTTTCACATGCCTCTGTTCTGTAATTATAACATTAATAGAAGACAATTAATATTCTTGTTCATTTTGTTCATAAATATTCATTAGATGCATAGATATGAGGCATCATCACCCTGCCAGCACCGGCACCGAGCAGGCGGGAGTGCGAGACTGAGCCTGTGAACTTACTGGCTGGTCAGGAGCCGCAACACCACCCAGTCTCTCGGAAACACGCTCAGCTTCATCAGATTACGGAACATACAGAAGATTCTCAGCAGGAACTCCTGAGACAGAGATCGGCAGAGAGAGAGAGAGCGAGAGAGCGAGAGCGAGACCGATGGACAAAGAGATAGAGAGAAAGAGAGAGAGAGAGAGAGAGAAAGAGAGAACACAAACAACCCCAGCTTCAAGGTGATGCACAAGCTTTGGCTAAAACCACTACCGATGTATCCATACTCTCCTAATGTCACAATGCACTGCCATCGCATTGTGGTTGAATGCTTTATTCATTTCCATTCTTTCCATACACAAATGCCCAGCAGCAATAAAGAAAATGTACACTCCTAAAGAAAAACTGACATAACCCATAACTCGGCAGTTGTGTTCTACATTAAGTTGACCACTGCTGTTCAGAAACAAGCATCTGTCCTACAGAAGTGGCCTGGCCAAAAATCCACCTCCATCTACCACTATAAGATGATTATCCTCATAACCCAGCACTAGACAATGACTCTTTTCTGGTTCCATCCAAGTCAGACTGAACGTCCAGCACTTAATTAACTCATTTGTGTTTGAAACCCACCGGAACTCCCCGATTGAATGGTACTAAATTTATTCTTACAAGGAGTGAGACAGGTTTCTGTGATACAGCCTTCAGCTAAATAGCCATGAACTATGAAATTGTCTTGCTCTATTTAAAATGGTCACTGCTACTGGCCTTACTGGGTCTATATGGAATTATGTTACTTTTATCTGTGAATTGCCTATAGTAATAAGAACGTTTGTTTCCTTTCCCCTGCCTTAATCAGCCTGGCATACCCACACCGCAGGTGAACATAGCCAGTCCCCACCCCCCAACACTAACCTTGGCAGACACAGGGTCGCCGCTGTGGATCCACCCGCTGCTGCGCGCTGAGCTAACAAGAGGGCTGACCAAACACCCAGCGCGAGTGTCGCTAACTCCTGCTCATCCAACACTGACGCTCACAGTGTAATGTTAGCTTGCCTGTGGAGCTGGCCAGTCATGTGGGCAGGGAATCCCTGAAGCTTTGTCCTAAATCTACCCTGGGAGATTCTGCTTCCTCTCCTCAGTTGTGCTTCTTTCTCATCCACTTTGAAAACAATGTGACTCTAATTGCTGTTGTGTTTCTTTTTCACTCTGATGTTCTTGTTAAGTGTTTATAATCCATTAGTAATCATGTTCATTGAAACAGAGAAACTATTTTGGTAAGGGTGCTATAAAAATGAAATGATAAAGCTGAAGTCACTTTTACCTTGAGTTCATCCTGACTCTGGAAGCTGTCCAGCAAATGCTGGAAGTGAGCATCAGACATCTGACACAGGAGAGAAAGTAGGCAGGACACATACTCTCCCTGCCATTAAGGAAACAAAGCAAGCCAATCAAATCATACAGTTTTACAGAACAACCAATAGCAATTTTGCTGTAGGAAACTTAATTCACTGGCAAAAGCAGTTTAAACCAGTAAGTTATAAACCAGCAGCTCATTGCTGACATTTATCCTGACAGCTTGCTAGCTTGAAAATAAACAGGAGTTATATTGACACTGCAGTGACCATGCAATTTTATGTTTGCTTATTAAAATGATTTTTTTTCATGAAACAGCTAAATAATTGATATACTTGTTTGTGTGAACCTTGCAATCAAAATTAAGTGTAGTATTTTAGTTCCTATAAATGACTTTGGCTAGAATTAGAAGCAACAACAGCTTGCAAAAAACATTTAAAATTTAGCCTTTCATATTTATTTTGAAGTCTTGAAATATTCCTCAAGACTAGGCCAGGAGATACATGTCCCTCTGATCTGCCAGCTAGAATGGCTAAATCCCTTAGAAATACTAATTCACAAAGAATACTCGATCATCAAAGAACTCCAACGCACTTTGTTCTGATGTGCAACAAAATTAGTATAACAATGAGCAGAACCTTGTATATTCACTAGCACGAGATTAAAGGTGGGCGAGGAAAAATGGAGAACTCCGACTAAATGGAGAGGTCTTCGGGAACAGAGGGGAGTGTTTCCTACAGCAGAGGAACACATCTCTAATGGATGAAAAGGATCATGCTACCAGTGACTCACAGTAATCTCAGCCGTGCACTGCGGGCAGCGCTGCCCCCGGCAGACCTCCGGGGACTGCGACTTGCTCATGATGGCCTGCAGTGTCTGCAGAAGCACGTCCAGCAAGCTCTCCACCATCATCTCCACCTCCTCCTGCACCGAGGTTTCCTGTAAAGCAGGACAAGGCGTGGTGTTGGGGGAAAAAGGGAGAATCAGAAGGAGGGAGAGAGAGAGAGAGAGAGAGAGAACAGAAGGCAAAGAGCAGAGAAGTGGAACTGATAGAAAAAAATATGAATAAAATGTTGTGAATAAGAACTGCCATTTCTAGTGCCAGTATCTCTGATGCACTGACATATGCTGCCATGTTACATGCCGATCTGCGTGCCATTTACCAGGGAGCTGGCCTTGATTAAGGAGAATATGCTACTGAGGATGCCAGAGCAAATAAGCAGCTCTCTCTGCTGGCGGAGGTGAAGATGAATGTGGTGGAGGACCACAGGTAGCAAGACCCTCCGGGACTCTGGGAGAGAGGGAGAGAGAGAGAGAGAGAGAGAATGAAACAAAAAGGAGAGGCATGCAGACAAAGAAGGGAAGACAAAACAGGAGACCTCAATTCAAGAGAAAGTGTCACATTATCTTGCATGGACTGAGATATCAGCAGCAAGTGGAAGACAGGTCCAGATCTCCATTAAGCTGCCAGCTGTACCTGCAAAGGAGAAGAGCCTGCTGTCTACGGTGCCGGCGATTGACTGAAGCTTGACCACGTCCATGGACTGGCCCATGTGCACTGTGCTGGGCATGCTGCTCAAAGTGCCCCTCACAAGTTCAGCTGCCTCCTGGACCGTGAACACGGGCAGCAGCTCGTCGAACACAGCTGGCAAGGAGCTCAGCAGCGCCACCTGTGGCGGGGAAGCGAACAGCGGGAAACATTCAGCATTTTCCACAGCACAGGTTTCAAGACGCAGTCTGGAACTCTAAGTGACTTTTTGGATGCACAGACTGTGAGGAGACATTGCTTTGTAGAAGAGGACTGGAGAATAGCCAGATGAAAGAAAGAACAGACGTGTTGGCTTGGGTAGTTTCATTTAGAGCACGGCATGAGGAGGTCCTGTTTCTAAGTGACAGAGCTGAATAATAGGGAGCAGTCAAGCCCTGGGGCTGCTCACAGGCAATGGAGATACTAAGATGTCCAGGAGGCAGCTGGGGGCCCGGGGGATACAACAGTGGAGGACTAGCAGTGGGGCAGATGGAGAAATTGCCCAAAAATAACAGGGGTTTAAAGGATCGTCAAAAAGAAGAAACCAAACAAAATAAATGGAAAACATCTAAAAGCACAACCTGAATGGTGGAGACATGTAAAAACCCACAAGCACGCCCCTCCCTTACACAAGAAAAAAAATCTTATCTAAAGGGGGACTTTAAATCACAGCCAAGGTCAAAATTTAAATGCCCTTTAGTCCATGAAAGGGTGCACATTTCAAATTGACTGATACAGACAAATACAAATACAGGATTCCTGAAGTCATGGGCAGGAGAGTCACCCACCTTCCTCGGGTCCAGCACTCAGCAGCACCACAGAGGTGCCTTGGAAAAACGAACATTACGTTTTTGCTGATAGGAAAATCTACTCTCAAAGACATTTTGCCAGACCCCCTACGGGCTCCATAAGACTTCATAACACATACGTCTGGCAGAACACCAGACCTCTCCATCTCTCAAGTACATTAAGGAGAACTGGGAAAACAGAGAGGCAAATTCTAAAGATGTGACAGGTTGCGTTTTAATGACGCATCCAAAAATAAGCTAGCAAATATGGAGAAAACACTGGAGACTTGTTACGATTTAGAGAAGCTGCCCAACCTTTAGGCATTACCAAGTGCTGACCATCCCACATCTATATATGTATCTGATTGGCTCTTTGTCTGATACTGCATTCAGAACCATGTCTGTGGCCACACTTGGGCCTGGTTCTGTGTCTGTGGCCACACTTGGGCCTGGTTCTGTGTCTGTGGCCACACTTGGGCCTGGTTCTGTGTCTGTGGCCACACTTGGGCCTGGTTCTGTGTCTGTGCCCACACTTGGGCATGTATCTGTGTATGTGTCTGTGCCCACACTTGGGCCTGGTTCTGTGTCTGTGCCCACACTTGGGCATGTATCTGTGTATGTGTCTGTGCCCACACTTGAATGTGTTTGCTTCCATCTGACCTGGGTGAACACGAGAGGTTCTGAGCTGCGGCTGTCCAGGCTCAGCACAAAGCGGATGGAGTGGAACAGCTCCTGGATGCTGGCTCTGAACTGGTCCTCCTCCATGCCACAGGTGGCCTGGGAGTACAGGGTGCGGGACTGCACGATGAACTTAAACAGGTAATCCAGGGCCTGCAGCGGAGAGAGGGTTAGGACAGGCTCAGACAGGAACCTGCTGGCTCATGCAGGATGACCTTGATGAGCCAATTACCTTTATGCCATTTACATTCAGCGTCAATTCTAGAGTCCACGGATAAGTAGTAAAATGAGGCGTGAACTTTGGTTCGAAAAACAAAATACAGTGAAAATGACTAGTGACTAGTCTAACCCTCAGTCAACCACGTTCCCACAGATATGCTGTTAAAGCCTCTCCACCACTTTCTGCTGATGTGAAACACTATCAGGTGACTGTAGTTGTGTGGTACCACCGGCCCTTAAGCTCACCCTCATGGCCTCCTGAATATGATCCTGTCTGGTCAGCTCAGCTGAACGTTCCATGTACCATTTCAGACAGCGAATCAGCTCCCTGTAGACGTAATCACAGGAAAGAAACCATCCTGAGGGCAAACACAGAACCAAGTGACCTGCAGTGGGCCTTTCTGAAAGCAGTGTTTTATGTTAACAAACCTGACCACAATTTCAGAAAAGCAATCTTCACCACAATAAAATAGACCCAATACTTCCACCCCCATTATGGTCTCCCTTGCCTCGTTTCCACCAACATGAAGCTGGTGCCGGTGCTGGGCTGGTTCTCACTTGGTGCCTTTTGAGAACCAGCCTGCGTTTCCACCGGTTTCAAAAATAGAAGGGAACAGAAATGTTATGGAGTCAGAAGTGAAAGTAAAGTACCTTATTCCGCTAATAAGCTGGCAAGCTGTTTCACCGCTGGCACCACCGATATCAGACTATACCAGTTATGGATTGATTATTCCGGTTATTGGTTTGGACACCACAGCCCTTCCTACTTTCAGTGACATTACTGTGCCATATTCTGAGCCCAGCTTTCTGTGGTGCCGTGCTGAAGCCATTTTATCTAGCCCAGGGCATTTTTTTGCGGTGGAAATACATGGAAACAGTGCTGGATTTGGAAAACGTTCGGCACCAGCACCGGCCCTGGGAATATTCCTGCCCTTACTCCCCCTGCCCCCACTCTTACTTGTATGCCACAGCTGAGGAGAAGTGATTGTGGATGTAGTTGTCTGTGACTGTGCGGAAATGGGAGAATCTGCCTTCTCGCAGCAAGTTGATGATGAAAACCTGGGACAGAGAGAAGCCACATGGGCAGACAGCAGACAGTAAGCAGGCCCGCTCCTCTGCTGATAACCCCACGAGTGGGTCCTAATGTCAAGCAGGAAGTTGATTTATACACACGCAAATACAAACTCACTAAGACCATGCACAGAAACTAATACCCAGACTTTTTAAGTTTCTAGTTTGCTCAGAAAGAATAATTACAGCTAATTATTACCCCAATGATCAACTGATTAAAGTTGGAAAAGCGTTTACATTTGTAACCTATACTTTGGTATGATTCTTTGAGGGTATGAATACTGTGTTTCTTACCAGCGACTGGAAAACCGAAGGGCCATATTTGTCAGTGTTATCCTCCAGAATGGAAAACAATGTGTCCAGGATATTTTGCAAAAACTGAAAAACAGAGGCATAGATAAAAGTGATTGAACTTAAATGCTAAATGCTTGGTGCCAACTTCCAATCCTGTATAAACATCCTCAATATAAATGTTAGAACCCTGACTCCCCCGGATTAAGTTCAGTTGTTAAGGCCGAGGCATTAACCCGACACTGGGGGCATTGGGTTGTGTACTGGTTAAGTCCCAGGGGGGCCCTTACATTGTAGCCTTGAATAAAGAGCTTAAGCTGTATTGCTGCAGTAAAATATCCAGCCGTATAAATGGGTGAAGATATTGCTTGAGCTTAGCAACCAAATATAAAAAAGGTGTAAATGTAAACGATGAATTTCTTTGTATGGGGGTTTAGGCACTCTAACGCCGGCTAATTAGCAGTCTGCCCCGCTCCCTGTGTCAGCCCTCTCACCTTGACCAGCTCCTCCCCACTGATGTAGCGCAGCCGCCCCAGGAGATCCATCACTCGATCAGGGTGAGATTTCCAATTAAGCAGGGCCAGGACATCCACTGGGAGCGACACAGATACCAGTACAGGGGTGATGAGGATCCAAACCGTTCTGCGAGGAAACCCCCCCCCCCCCCCCCCCCAGCGTGTACGAGGCCTGTGAGGCTGCCGGAAGGTTACCGTTCTGCGTCAGCTTGCTGGAGCACAGCTGTGTGGACACCCAGAGCAGCTCCTTGGGGCTGCGCTGGAAGGTGGGGCTGGTGCTGGAGCCAGGACAGGCACTCAGGTCCTCTTTGCAGCAGGGCAGCCCCAGGTAGAGGGCGTGGTTACTGAAGGTCGTGCTCTCGTCACACTGGCGGAATAAGCACTCAGCTTAAGGAAAGACTCGAATCCACGTGCCATTCTCTTATTACTAAAGTGACTGTTGACCTTCTGACCTTATAGACATAGAGTTCATGGCTCTCGTCCGACAGCGTCGTTCCGTCTTCCCTCATGAGCGGCGTGAAGGCAAAGCCAAAAAGCTTCTTTTCACCTTTATCTTTAGCTGTGACAGAGCAAAGCGAAGCCGATAAAGGTCGGCTAAAGGCTCTGCTTGGGAGTCTTACAACCTCCTGATGACACTGTTGACATCCGTGTTCGCTGAATTTAAAAGGACTTTCATCATTCTACACTGCGCTCTTTCACACAGACTAATATTTACTGAAAAATATCAGCACCTTTATTACGGTAGAGTACAAGTGATTTCCCCCAGGGGAAACCAGAAAAGAGCACATTTCTACATCAGTCAAGTGAATGTGACTGAGATGGGATTTATGCACTGAGAATAGTGTACAGTGAAAGAGGGGGTCTCACTGGAGCAGTGGCGTAACTCGAAGCGCAGGTGCGAGCCTCGGAAGCGATCGAAAGGTATGGAGAGTTTCACCATTTCGTTCCAGCGGGGGGCGTTGTTGTGGTAAAACACGAGGGAGCGATGCTCACTGGAGCTGAGCTCCCCACTGCCCTGGCTGATGCAGTCCTGGGGAAGACGTTCAGAGCAGTTCAAAGGTGAGGCATCTCCATCAGGCCCAAAACCCAAATTAAACCATTACAACATAAACAATGGATGTACGTTACGCTTACACCTAGCATTAAAGCCACTTCCATGTTCTGTTGCATCGCTGTCCTTTATATGTACTGCTAGAGTCCAGCACTTACTTTTAGGATTTGTCCATCTGCATACAACACGTAGATAGTGACCTCAATGTTCTTCTGTACACTCTTGCCTCCTTTCTCAAACTCTCCTCGCTCCAAGGTCAGGTACAAGTCATTGCGGATGTCACCTAAAACATAGGGAGATAATGCCATAGACCCAACAAAGAGCCCACGAAACACACCTGCTGTTCCCGCTCTGTATGACTCTACGTAATTACTTTCGCATTATATAATGTCAGCATGGCCCTGGGGGGGGGGGGCTGCGCAGCCGTCGACCTCGGACCCCTGGAGGTTTTTTTTCTCCGCGCTGTGGAGTTTTTGGTTCCTCTCCTCTACTGTCTTCTGGCATTTTTCCTTCTTCCTTTTTTTCTGCATCATGAACTATTTAGTGTCTGTGTATTAATATTATAGCAGCACAACTTAGTTAAGTGCCTTCGAGCGACTGTGTTAAAATAAAACAAAAAAAAAGAACTTAATTGAATAATCCTGAATTAAGGTATTAGCAAGGAAGATGGAAAACAATGAAAAACACAATAATCAAATGTGAAACCATCCCAGTAGCAATCAATATATTAATATGATAATGAATATACTTAATTATCTAAAACTAATCAGCTTTTCATGGTCTATTCTGATACCTCCAACAAGACACTCAGGTCTAAGTATAACTAAATTAAAATTATAAGATCCAGTTAGAAATTACAGGCATGAGAGAGAGTCCTCCATTGCCATTTTAGCTGTGGTGCAGCGTGCAATGTCTTACATAATTGGGTACATTTAATTACAGCTACCAGGAAAAGCATCCCAGCTATAAACCATGGAGAGAAGCAAGGTTTATGATGTATCCATCAGATGTCAAGAAAGGAATATATGCGGGATATTCTTCCTAAACTACCATAAAATCACATTCCTGCCTCTCAAAACGTGCTGTCGAATCAATGTCACACGCATAACTCCACCGCTCTCGTCGTCAGTCAGCCTGAACCTGTCAGTGTACAGGACATGTCCAAAAACCCTGCACATCTCAACAGTGTCTCGACTGTTTAGAAAAAAGACAACTTTTCCCCCTTTACTTGAACCTCACCCATCCGTCCATTTTAGTAACATTATCACCTATTTATTTTAGCATTACAAATCCCGTTTAGTCAAAACGAAACTACGTCAAACTGTAACGTTTCTGCAAAATAAGATGAATAATATTTTTGCACATCAGGCTTCCCAGACGTGTAGTGGGCGAAAAGTCTGGTTTATGCATTATGCAACCAACACGGCCCCCTCCTCCAACCACCGTGGGCTCACGGCAGACCTGCACGGGCCAAAAACTGTCAGTTGCCTGCCCCCCAGCCCCCAACTACAGCTCTCACGATCTGGGGAAGCTGCTGACTGGATTCGCGCTTGCTGAAGGTACAGTATGAGTGGTACCAAGCAACGTGAGCAGCGCCGACTGCATTCCTCCCAGGATGCTTGCAGTGTTTGCAAACATAACAGCTCTAGCTTCCCTATCAGGTCTCTGCTTGACAGATAAAAAAGCTACTTTTTTAACATTTGCACATGCAAAATTTCAAACAGCTATAGCATGTGCATACAGTATACTTTATACAAATTCCCACCAAACTCTTAATGAGATGATTTTGAGTGTCTCATGGCTACTGATCTTACCCATTTTTAATATTTTATCACTACTTGTGAATTCCACTGGGAGATGGATACGCCGCTAACAGGCTTTCTGCATTAATATAATCCCAAAATGTTGCCTCAGCTCTGCAACAAGAGGACTCCTGAATGCAAAGCAGCTGGGAAAAAAAAAACTCTCTTTTGTCTGCAGGACCCTTTGTGTTTTATCAAAACAATCCCATCTGTAAACCTGAAAAGGATCGTTTTTGCGTAAAATAAATTGTTGCATTTCTTTCAGCCTGCATTTGCGCATATTAACGCATTTGCGCAGCTACACAGAGCTCTGAAAGGTCACTGACATTGGGTTTGCATTCTACAGACACTTGTCATCTCAGTACATTAATCAATTATGAAGAATCAATTCTTTTCCAATCTAAAGTACAGTAATAGTTCTAAGTTGGCAACTTTACTGCATACAACAGGGAGCTGTACTGGAGTGGAACTGACAACAGATTGTTACATACAGATCAAATGAAACCTTCCACACTGACGGTCACTTGGTATCTTGATACCAAGATAAAACATAGATCTATATTTAACTAGCACTGGCAGACAGGCGCGGCGCTGAATGATGATTAGTTGGGTACAATTTTATTCCTGTACAGCATGTGATAAATGACCGCAAATCAACATCATGCTCTCAGCGCGGTTCCCTTCCCAAATCCATCATATTCGTAGGAAATAACAGCAAGGAGCAAACGCTGAGCCACTCTGCAGACGCGACTTTACAAAAAACGCGGAAACATGGAATGCTTTAACCATGCTTGACATATTAGTGACGCAGACGGTGCCGGAAATGTATTATCGACTATCGGCTTTTCATCCCGGATCTGGACTTGATTTCTCGCGATGGCTGTTTCTGCCCTGAAGCGAGAACAGCTGCTACATCACACGTACCCTACACCCCCCCGCCCCCAGTTCTGTACCTGGCATGATCATCTCTGGGAAGGTGAGCTGGCGGGTGACGCTGATGCCCCGGCTGAGGAGCGCCATGTGCTCGCGGCGGATCTGCTCCATCTCCCCATGCAGGAACTGCAGGGCGATGATCAGGCCTGGAGAGGGTGCGAGAGCAGCAGCGATGTCTGAGGTGCGGCTTTAGCGCACAGCGCCCGTACTGCGGGGAATCGGCGCTGTTTACCCAGCACACAGGACACGGGCATTAGAGGACATTTGTGTGAAAGTGTGAAAAAGGGACGCCAAAAAGGACATTGGAGAAGAAGGGAGAGAGTCTAAGAAATGGCAGAGAGAATCCAAGAGGGAGAGAGGAGAATAAAAGGGGAAAGAGGGCAGAATATAGAGCGACACAAAAACAGCAGCCGATTCGAACAAAGCCACAAAACTGTACCACTGTTTAGTTACAATGTATACAATACAATGTATACAGGATAAGGTGAACAAATACTCAAACACAGGACTCGACCCTGAGTTTAGCGTGTTTTCTAAAAGATCAATTATTGTTGGTTTTGATACTAATGTAATGATGTAATTCCTTTGTAACTAAATGTGACACCCAGCAATACGGGGAAGGAGAGATTGCTGGCCGGGCCCATGGCCCGCAAGCGCCATCCGGGCCGCGGTGTGCTGGGGAGGCCCAGCTTCAGCCACCTGCTTCAGGGCAGGCAGGACGCACCGTGGCTGCAGGGGGCTGCGGACTTGACGCTGGACTTGCGGATGATGCTCTCATGAATCTGCTGCCACTCACTTTCATTGGTGCAACTGTCAAAGCAGAAGGCGAATGAGATCGCAGGCCGCAACAGTACAGCGACGCTGGTATAACTAAACCGCGTGAGTGTTAAATACATAAATATGTAAAAATCTCGTACTTCAGACTATGCGGTTAGCCCAGTGCCGCATCTGGTAAAGGAAGGGGTCACGTACACAATTACATCCTTTTAAGCAACATATTTAGAAAGAAATAACATGATTTGTTGCTTGATCAGCAGGTAAAGACTATACGCATAACTAGCACAGGCTAAATTTCTATGCTATTACTTAACAAGTACAGCTGGCAGTTGGCAAGATTAATGCAGCAGATTCATATAGGCAATCAGTATTATCAACAAACCAAATAATTATATGCAATTAGCTTGATTACCAGAATAATTGTTTCTTCTGTGGGAGACACCTGTGTTTGTCTTTATGTCTGATTCCAGAAAAGGTCTGTGTCAGTGTTTCAGTCTGTTAATAACGTCTAAAATCTTCTTACAGTTCCCTTCAATGCCAAGCATTATATTCCCTGGTAACTGTGCTGCCTCATTAACCTTTTTTTTCTCAGGACGTGATATTTCTGAGCAGACATTTAAGCAGGGTTTGAGCGTCTGGTGAATATGCAACATTTAATGAATGCGTTCCTATGTCATCTCGAGGAGATACTTTAGCAGAGACTTAATGGGACAACAGTGTGGATCTGCTGCTCGTGACTTGGCACAGCCACCAGAATATCAATCTGCTTCTCTGTCTGCTGAGAGGCTGCACATCCCCCACCGCATCCCGTATAAATCCATTACATTCTTTCATATATATTTTATTGCTTGTTACAGGCCTATTAAGATGCCCATTGACTGAAGCTAACGATGTTTTCACATTTTTCTTTTTATATTTAGTTTGGCAGAGGAAAATCAATGAAATTTACTTTATTTTAAATCTCAGGTTAATTTATTGCTACTTTTTGGCTAATGTAAGTTTAATCTTAGAGTATCAGAATATTCTATTGCACTCTCTTATAGGAGAGTAACTTGTTGATAAGTTTATAAGACCTAGAGCATCCCTCCAGAAGAGCAAGACGGAGTCAAATGAAAGGTTTACGAACAATCAGTGTGCGTGGGAAAGCTCCACTCACGTGTAAACTTTGAGAACAAATTCCTTCTCCTCTTTGAGCTCTGATATGGTGTGCAGCACCTCGCTCAGGGCTAAGGCAGCGCAGCCGTGGGGCCGTCGATACTGACCCTGGGCCGGGCCCTTCCTCGAGTCATTCAGCAGCATGCGGCCTGCAGGAAAAAGCCGCCAAGTCCCGTGCGCATTAGCCAGACTCATCCTTCTCATTCTTCCCATGCTTGCTAAGGAGATTCTCATATCCCGGGTCATCCAGGCAGACAGGCAAGCCTCCTATTCTTAATTCCCACATCAATATTCACACCAGTCCAAATATCAATATGTGGATGCCTTAGTATTGTTTGGCAAATAAAAAAGGACAAAGGAGACAATAAACAGAGGGAGCACAATACCAGTTCTTATAATGTGTGCCACAATATAGAGGTCCCTCTTCAGGTCCTTGCTGCTCAAGTCCTGCAAGACAGAAACAAACTCTGTCAAAAATCTGAAATAGAGCAAATGGAAAATGCAGGTGATCAGCAATATTACCATACAGAGAGAGCACAGACGATCAGCAGTATTACCATAAAGAGAGAGCACAGACGATCAGCAGTATTACCATAAAGAGAGAGCACAGACGATCAGCAGTATTACCATAAAGAGAGAGCACAGACGATCAGCCTTCTCTGCGTTCTTGGCCCCCCCACTCTTGTTCAGCCGCACCATGAATTTCTCACTAAAAAGATAAAACAAATATGTGCAGGATCTCTGAGCTAGATGGGCACTGACCTGGGGAGAGGATTCCTACCCGCTATATTAGGTGTGTGAGCTTCCCCACATTCATTTAGCATCATTAGAATATCTGCTGCCTATTTTAAGAAAACGGCCTGTCTGCTCTCCGTAGGCTCTTTGCTCTCTCATCTGCAGCTTGAATCTAATGAGAGGCTATTTTCTGGACCAGCCTATTAAAACGATTGGGCAACTGACACAGAAGCTGAAAGCTCAGGACAAATGTTTCCTTATGTCGGGAACTTTTGCACATAAAGACATGCCGAACTGGGTTATTTTTGGATACAAAATCTGAGGCTCCATTCTGCTTATCACCCATGTTCTGGCCCTGCCTACTAATTTGTCATGGTTTCCCAAACGACGGAGTCAAACAAAGGTCCTAGTAGACAGCTGCGTTTGCCATTTTCAGACCGGTGTCAGGATGCATTTCATAAGCTTCTTGCCTGTATGATAGATAGGAGCAAGCAGCTAAGAGACAAACATAAGGCAGATAGAGACACGACTTCCTGTTATCAGCCAAATACCATTGCTGCGACTTCATAATGGTGTAAACTGAAGGTTTAGTTTCTTCCCATACTAGATGTTTGACCTCACTTACAATTTTCCCATACCCAGATATCAACACTTCTGAAACAGAAAACTGCACTCAAGAAAATTCTCACAGCTAAAGCAGCCATATTGATTTCGGTTCCTATATCTTGGCACACATATGCAGCTCCCTTCTAGTCCTCTGGAGAAGGCTTTGCATTAGTTCAGCTCTCAACCTGAGATTAGGCTGAGATATGAGCTTGTCGGCTGCTGTAGTTGACATTATCTGTGCAACACAGAGGTCACTGGAAGAGCTCAGGGAAATCTACCGAGTCTCCTCTATTACCCAGAGAAAACAGTTGCTTTCCCCTCCGTCTCACCTGATCTGCTTGCTCTCCCGGATGTCATACAGAGAGAAGAAGATGTCAACGTCCTCATTGATGGTATTGTGGGTGAAGCTCTTCAGGCTGACCAAGAGGTGGTGTGGCACAGAGACCCGTGCACTGTCATTCTGGAGACAACATTTTAAACAATGTTTCACGCTCAATTATGCCATTTTGTCCCAAGCTGACACCCCACCCCCCGTCCTCTTGGTGTCCATCACTGCTTACCTGGGATGTGCTTTGCTGGACCCGCTGTCGACTGGAAAGGTGCTAAGAACACAAGTGAGGGGGAAACGCATTAACACGCTTCCAGAACTTGCTAAAGTAGATGCCAAACCATCGCGCGAGAACCAAACAGAGCATAAGCAGATGTCAGGGTAATCTCTGAGCTAGAAAGCAATGTTTTCATGCTACACTACATGCCTTTGCATGTATACGGCACAGGTGTCTCCAGACAGTGGCAGAAGACATCTGCTGAGCCTCACGATCCAGGTGCTTGGGTCCCTGGGGAGATTCAACTCCTCTCAGCAGGGTTACGTCACATTCTGCTCCATTCCTCTTAACCAGCTACTATTTCTGTCTACCTCAGAACTTTTCTCTCTGTGACAGAAAATCGTTGCCCTGCCCCCCCCCCCATCCTGTCCCAAAAATATTTTTTGAGTTGAGTTGAGTTGGTTCAATCTACCCAAGATAAGTCTATGATTGTTTTCTTTACAGTAAAACCCCCTCCATGTTCACGTACCATTTTGTAGAGGTCTGAAACACTGATCTGGTCTGGATCCACCATGACAAACTCCTGTCGGGGTACAAGATCCAGGCCCAGGTGTCTGTTCCCATGAGTACGAGAAAAAAGTATGAGAAAGCACTGCATCAACCATTGACAAGTACACAAGCTAAGCAAGGTAGACTCATGTGACTTGCCTATAACTCAAGCAGCATTTAATAACTAAGAATGCAGTACTTACACTGTTTAGCTATAAATCAAGAAAAATTAAGAACTATTATACAGTAGTTCTCCAGATAAGAATACTCTTTATTGCCTCTTTATTTGCCTTAAAGTTACAAAAGCAGAGCTCTACCTGTCCGCCTGACCATTGCTATTTCATCTGCACCAATGTATCTGTGAGTGCCATACTTCATGAAGGGCAAGCACAGCCAGCAGACAGCTTAAAAACCCCAACATGAGCTTAACATGTGGGCACTTGTGGAAGCAGCATTAGAACATAAGAACATAAGAACTATACAAACGAGAAGAGGCCATTCGGCCCATCGAGCTCGCTTGGGGAGAACTTAACTAATAGCTCAGAGTTGTTAAAATCTTATCTAGCTCTGATTTAAAGGAACCCAAGGATTCAGCTTGCACTACGTTATCAGGAAGACTATTCCATACTCTGACTACACGCTGTGTAAAGAAGTGCTTCCTTAAATCCAGTTTGAAATGTTCTCCCGCTACTTTCCACCTATGGCCACGAGTTCTTGTATTTGAACTAATGCTGAAGTAACTATTCGGTTGAACAGCATCCAAACCTGTTAGAATCTTATAGTCCTGGATCATGTCCAGTCTCCTTTGCTTGAGGCTGAACAGATTTAGCTCAACTAACCTTTCCTCGTATGACATTCCTCTAAGACCAGGAATCATTCTTGTGACCCTACGCTGCACCTTTTCTAAGGCCGCTATGTCCTTTTTAAGATATGGTGACCAAACCTGCACACAATATTCTAGGTGAGGTCTCACCAAGGAATTGTATAATCTTAGCATTACCTCCCTTGACTTAAACTCCACACACCTGGAGATATACCTCAACATCCTATTGGCCTTTTTTTATGCTTCCCCGCACTAGCGAGAATGAGACATGGAAGCATCAACATACACACCAAGGTCTTTCTCATAATCAGCTACCTTTATTTCAGTAGGTCCCATAAAATACCTGTACTTTATATTTCTGCTCCCTACATGGAGTACCTTACATTTGTCTATGTTAAATTTCATCTGCCAGGTATCGGCACAGTCTCTAATTAAATCAAGATCCCGCTGTAGCTGCTGAGCCGCTAGTTCAGTATCTGCTACACCACCCACCTTGGTGTCATCTGCAAATTTCACCAGTTTACTGTATATATTGGTGTCTATATCATTTATGTAAATTAGGAACAATAGTGGTCCTAAAATTGAACCCTGCGGTACCCCACTATGAACGCAGGCCCACTGTGACATTGTGCCTCTTATAACTACTCGCTGCTTCCTATCTGTTAACCAGTTATCAATCCAGGTTGCTACAGTTCCTAAAATACCTGTCGCTTTGAGTTTAAGTAAGAGCCTCTTGTGGGGGACAACATCAAAAGCCTTTTGGAAATCTAAGTGGATGACATAATAGGCTTTCTTATCATCAATTTCCTGAGTAGCTTCCTCAAAAAACTCCAACAGATTTGTTAAACAGGATCTACCTCTCCTAAATCCATGCTGGCTATCCCTCAAAATGTTATTTGAGTCCAGGTAATCTACCATTTTCTCTTTGATTATAGCCTCCATAATTTACAAGTTAGACTGATTGGCCTATAGTTTAACAAATTACTTCTATCCCCTTTTTTGAAAATGGGCGTTATGTTGGCATGCTTCCAATCAGAAGGTACCACACCTTCAGATAAGAATTTCTACAGCTCTGCCAGGGTGCCACCCATCAGCAAGTATCCCACATGTCCTGTCATCATTTGCAGAATGCTTATCTAACATTGCTCTTGTGACAAAAACACAGAAGCTGTTTTAGAGTTAAGAACCCTGTTATAAGACTCAATAATTATATGCTTTGTCTTGAGTTTTATGGACTACGGACTGACGCTATCAGAAGGGAGATTAAAAAAAAAAACGTATTGTAACAGTCAGAATTTTACTGCTTTAATTTCGATCCAGTGTGGTACTAAGACATAATATCTCTCATAGAGTACATCAGGTAGTAACTGCGGATCCATTATTATATGGTACGACCTTTCACAAAGATTTAAGTAAAACATTGTTTTAATTTTGTCAAATGTGTTTGTTTTACTATCTCTGAGTGTGTGTGTGTGTGTGTGTGTGTGGGTGCATGTCTGTTCCCTTGTGGAGCTGGGCTATGTGTATATATTTGGGTTTGTGCATGTGTGTATCTGCATGAATGTGTGGGAGCGATTGCTCCTGGGAGACTGAACACAGAGACTGTAAAAATCAAAACAGGTCTGCAAGGCAATGGCTTGTCTGTATCAGAACCTCCCACTCCTGGTTCCAGCAGCCCACTGCCTACATTCCTCATCATTTTGACTGAGCTTTTAATTAAACGAAACAACCTTTGATGGGGATGATTGAATGGAGCATATGATTCACAATGGACTCATGTGCACTTTAAATTTGAATTGCGTGAAAGTTGTGTTGAAAATCCATCCATCCATCCATCATCTGTACCTCCTTGTCCTATCAGGATGGTGGGGGACCCGGAGCCTATTCCTGAGGCTATAGCCACAAGGCAGGGAACAACCCAGGATGGGGTGCCAACCCATCACAGAAAAATGACTATAATGGCAAAAATATACATACAACATACTTTTCCCTATCAAATCAACGGCACATGTGTTACATCAATGAAGCAAAGGTTACAAGACTGCTAAACGGAGTAGAAACTGGGCTTTCCCAGGACCATAAGTCATAAGCGAGGATGTGGGTCTGATCCCCATAACACAGTAACAGCAATCTAATGTGGCCCAGAAAATGCTAATTCGTCTGGGAGGCTGCACTGCACTGGTGGCATGATCGCATCCCCAGCTCTCACTGCTGGGCAGGACTGACAGGGACTGGGAAGCAGTCCTGCGAGGGAATACGGCGAGCTGGTCAGTCCCAGTCAGGAGGCAATCGTTTAAACAAATAAAGCAACATTGCCTAGCAATGCTCCACATAATTGTTCAATATACGGGTGACTGAAACATGATTCAGATCTTTAGGGAGTCCTTAAATACTTTAATGTGATACTTCAATCAAAGACTAATTGACTAATTAATTGGGAGCCGAAATGGAACCTGCTGTACTACAAAGTGGGCTGCCAGGACCCGGATGGGGAAACTCTGCTCTGCAAACCAAAGAAGCACATGAGAGTCAGAATGTGAAACGTGGCACAGAATCTTACTCATTCCCCCAGTCCAGACGTATGGTGGCATGCCTCTTGACTTCATGGACCTGGTCCTGGGTCAGGTGACCAGATAGCAGCTGTCGCCGCAGGTCAATCAGCTCATTCATGACGTGCCGCAGTTTGTAGAACAGGTCAGTCTTGTGTTTCTGTAGGGAAAAAAACGTCATTGACCTCAAATTTCAGGTAGTTACCTGGCAGAGGTTGGTACAATCGTGGGTACAAACAGCACCGGCATTTTCATGCCATGCCCTACTTCCGCTGTGTGCTTACGGGAAACCATCAGGAAAATGTTAAGGTCATAATCCAATTTAAAGCAGCATTTAGAAGCTCCGCAGAGGCACACATTCTTCAGCATGAGGGAACCACAGAATAACACGTCGCTTACCATCCATTCCCCAGTCGTTTTTTCCTGATACCACGTGACTTGCAAAGCTAACTGATCTAGGCATCACTCGTTCATACAGACAGTCACCGCAGCGATACGAACACCATCCCTTGAGATACAATAGCTGCCCTCCTCGGATTTGAACCTGCAAGCATCTGGTAAGAAATGCAGATGCTTAATTACTCTCTGCTTTAGCTTTGCGGGGAAGCAAGTGAGTCACTGGGTTGCAGCGCTCAGTATGACTCACAGCCTCGCTGTGTTTACAGTGACTCACAGCTTCGGAGCGAGCCGCTGCATCCGCGTGCTTCTTCCGAAGGCTGCTCGAGATGAAACCAACGCATTTCAAGGTCCTTCACAATCAGCTTCATTCCCGTTAAAGTCGAATTCTCACACGAGTATTAAAACCAAGCAACATCAGGCATGGATGACATTGTGCAAGTAGCTCAATGACTGAGGTATGAAACGCACAAGGTTTTTAGCAGTCATCCTCTTACATAACCCCCAGAAAGGCTAGTTTTGCATTGCAGAGTAAATGAAATCTAATGGCAAGACGACTGTTCCCGAGATTAAACAGCTCCACACGGGATACATCCTAAAAATGACGGCACTGCTGTAAACATGTATTTATATATGCATAAAATACAATAGTGCATAGTGAAGCACATACTGATCCAGGACTCCAGCAGAGAGGCATACATCAGTGAAACTCAGAAAATACGGGTAATAACTCATGACCCTCCGAACTGACTGTTTGTGTTTAACACACAGACTATTAGAATTTAATGAAAATCATCTGCTTTTCAATGGTCCCTTTTTTAGGTATAAGTAACAGCAACATAGAAATACAGGCTTTTCAGACTCACACTAACTTTGTAAAAAAAAAAAGAAAATCACATCTGAACAAAGATATTTCTTTCGTAAACTTGGTATTCAGACATCAACTACCTACACCTGTTCAATAAAACTGTTAAACCCTTTCCAGCCTTTATTATTGTTTTATAGTGCTGTTCTAGATCTCTGCAAATGTTTAATTAAAAATAACTAATTTTAACCACTTTTTAGGGAGCGGAGACTCATTCATTAACAATAATCATGCAAATTTCCCTGATGCACTAAAATCTGATCTACATGGATGAAAATCCACAAGATGGCTGGCGTTTCACAGCCTGATCGTTACCCTGCTGGTGCGCTGCCTGGATCTTTTCTACGGGATATTTCAGGATGGTGCATTGAGAGTTAGCTGTAGGCTTTCTATTTTATTTTTGGTTACAGAATTCTGAACTGTTTTTATTATTTTATTTGCAAGATTCTAAAAGTTCCCATGACGCACGGAACAATCACAAAAATAAAGTACACTACACAGCTGGGTAACAACCAATTAGTATTTTTTGCCCCATTTTTCTCCTCAACATTAGTTGTGTCCATTTCTGTGGCTAACAGGCGAGCAGAGCATTCGCGCCTGCCAGGAAGCAGATGAGCCCCTGATTCACGCCCCTGTAACAGTTCTGCTCCCTCTTTGTGCAGTGAATCACTGGTTGTCACGCCAAAGCCGTGAGGAGTGATGTAATCTCGCCACTGGCAAAAGCCTCCGAGGCACCTAAAGACATATCAGATTTGCTTCCTTGCCGGCAGCTGAGGTACGAGAACCAGTTAGCCCCTCCCTCTGAAAAACAGTGTCAAATTCTGGCAACAGGGGGCTCGTACTCGCACATGGTGAACGACACTCCGGCTCCTGAAGCCTGGCAAACGTGCGTGATTGGCAGGTGAAATACTGATGGTTTCAACCAATCCAAACTCACAAGCCTGACACCCTGCCTGTCGCAAAGAGATGCCTTATTACGCCGATCACACTGCTGTCCACACTGGGCCGCTGTCTTCATGGCATAGAAGTATCACCCCACTATCAATTAACAGTCAAATGTGAGATAAGGACACCTATTAGATAAAGACATTTAAAAGTAATAGGTGCTGGTCAGGATATAGACACTTAAAGCAACACACAGCTGGCCATACTCCAGCCACCCCCAGGCCCCCCAGGAAGCACAGCCCCACTCCCCATTTGCAATCACATGACATTATATATACCCACCACATGCAACACAGCGACTGCCCTCTCACCTGGACTGATTACTGACCTGTAGTGCCAGTGTGATACTAACAACCATTTAATGAAAGATGGCTGTGAGCAGGGGTGTCGGAAATGGGGGGGGGCGGCAATATATCCGCAGACATAAATAATTAAGAGCGCGTCCCGTATGTTTCATTGTGAATCTGCGCACAACTGAGGGGCATGAAACCTAACGAAGACTGTAGTTATGCATCAGACAAAATCATTTTTATCATATGGATCAGTTATTTTTTTTAGTTAAGCGATGTTTAGTTGTGAAACAGAACCCTAAACAGTGTTAGTCTTTTTTTGTGGTTTTAAGTGATGAAATCTTTCTATTTCTGAAATGAATTTAAAAATGTTTCTTACATCTAATATTTTGACGATGTGACCATTGCATGTGTGCCCACTGCAATTTTGCCACCCCCGCTGCTGACGAAGATTTCGCCCCCCTCAGTGTCAAACTCCTTCCAATGCCACTGGTTGAAAGGGAAATAAAAACAGTGACTTTGGATTCCAGAGCTCATAATGACACGCCTGTGTATGACATGTCTGTGAATGTCATGCATGCGTATGACATGCCTGTGTTTGCCATGCCTGCGTATGACGTGCCTGTGTTTGTCATGCCTGCGTATGACGTGCCTGTGTTTGTCATGCCTGCGTATGACGTGCCTGTGTTTGTCATGCCTGTGTATGTCGTGCCTGTGTTTGTCATGACTGCGTATGACATGCCTGTGTTTGTCGTGCCTGCGTATGACGTGCCTGTGTTTGTCGTGCCTGCGTATGACGTGCCTGTGTTTGTCATGCCTGTGTATGTCGTGCCTGTGTTTGTCATGACTGCGTATGTCATGCCTGTGTTTGTCATGACTGCGTATGACATGCCTGTGTTTGTCATGCCTGCGTATGACGTGCCTGTGTTTGTCATGCCTGCGTATGACATGCCTGTGTTTGTCATGCCTGTGTATGTCATGCCTGTGTTTGTCATGACTGTGTATGACTTGCCTGTGTTTGTCATGCTTGCGTATGACCTTCCTGCTTATGACATGCCTGTGTTTGTCATGCCTGCGTATGACGTGCCTGTGTTTGTCATGCCTGTGTATGACGTGCCTGTGTTTGTCATGCCTGCGTATGACATGCCTGCTTATGACGTGCCTGTGTTTGTTATGCCTGCGTTTGTCATGCCTGCATATGACATGGCTGTGTATGACGTGCCTATGTTTGTCATGCCTGCGTATAACATGCCTGTGTTAGTCATGCCTGCGTATAACATGCCTGCGTATGACGTGCCTGTGTTTGTCATGCCTGCATATGACATGCCTGTGTTTGTCATGCCTGCGTATGACATGCCTGTGTTAGTCATGCCTGCGTATAACATGCCTGCGTATGACGTGCCTGTGTTTGTCATGCCTGCATATGACGTGCCTGTGTTTGTCATGCCT